CTAAAAAGGGCCTGAAGATAATGTCCACTTTCTCCAATGATTCTTTATATGTCATCAAGTACTGATTATATTGATACCAAAACCGATCCAATATGTAACTACTACGGTGAATTTTGAACAACAGTTTTAAATGAAACCATTTTCGTATAAAAGTACATTTTTGAAACAGACTATAGCATTTCAAAATATGAAAAATGTGTAAATATTTGTGTTTAAACATCGAAAACTATTCGTTAACTACAAAATGTCATGCCTATTCTAATTTTTATAGTCTGCCATTCGAGTGAACATTTCAATGTTCAATGGGGGTCATTTCTGTACATTTTCACTGAATTTGGTAATTTCGATAACAGCATTTGGATCGAGATTGTCATGTTTAAAAATCGATTTGTATATCCAAACTCTAGACGTGTACGTGCTTTTTTCAAACAAATCAGCAGAAGTTCAGAAAACGACATATTCTCTCCACAGTAAGTCAAAAGTCGAACCCACCCTTGTTTCTAAGGTAAAACGCAATACAAATATGAAACAGACTATAGCTTAAAAACTAGTTAATCAATAATTCATTTGTCACCAAAAAATACGGTTTCACATCAAATATCAAGTAAAATTACTGTTTTTGACACTTTTTGAGCACTATGATAAAGAAATGTCGACGCTGTATAGGTTGAAATAAACAATTAATTTCCCCATAGGCGACAATGATAGCCTTTTTCGAGATACAGACTTTAGAAAGTTGATTTTTTAAACGAAACCTTGCTAGAATTAAAGAAAAGTTATTAGGACAGTATTTTTTGGTCCAAAAAATATAGGTTCGCGTTGCTTTTCTTAGCGTAATTTGTACTTATCTCCCATGCCTATCAATTTTGCACATAAAAATACGTGTCTCATCCTAGCGTTTAAAAGACATCTCAGTTCCGTTAGGGCTAAGGAAAATAATTTATTTGGCCTTTGGTATAATGCAGAATGCACGAAGTCTCTAATAACAAAAAATAACGGGCGCACATATCAACCAATCAGGATTAGCTATACTCTTAATTCTGAATACCATGTTATGCTCATAAAATGGCTGCGCCCATAAAATCTAATGGTGTATTGTAACCTATACGGTATTTAATACTTTCTAGAATCATGCAATTCATAGTTCGTTAGATGCACAAATATATATGCCACACAAAAATCATCTTCAAAACGTTCTGGCATTACTCTCTGAATTTTCACAATTTTTTATCAGAGGTGACCCCAGTCAAAAAATGTGAAAAAAAAATTTCTGATTTTTTGAGTAAATGCGGTACTGCTAAAAAGGGCCTGAAGATAATGTCCACTTTCTCCAATGATTCTTTATATGTCATCAAGTACTGATTATATTGATACCAAAACCGATCCAATATGTAACTACTACGGTGAATTTTGAACAACAGTTTTAAATGAAACCATTTTCGTATAAAAGTACATGTTTGAAACAGACTATAGCATTTCAAAATATGAAAAATGTGTAAATATTTGTGTTTAAACATCGAAAACTATTCGTTAACTACAAAATGTCATGCCTATTCTAATTTTTATAGTCTGCCATTCGAGTGAACATTTCAATGTTCAATGGGGGTCATTTCTGTACATTTTCACTGAATTTGGTAATTTCGATAACAGCATTTGGATCGAGATTGTCATGTTTAAAAATCGATTTGTATATCCAAACTCTAGACGTGTACGTGCTTTTTTCAAACAAATCAGCAGAAGTTCAGAAAACGACATATTCTCTCCACAGTAAGTCAAAAGTCGAACCCACCCTTGTTTCTAAGGTAAAACGCAATACAAATATGAAACAGACTATAGCTTAAAAACTAGTTAATCAATAATTCATTTGTCACCAAAAAATACGGTTTCACATCAAATATCAAGTAAAATTACTGTTTTTGACACTTTTTGAGCACTATGATAAAGAAATGTCGACGCTGTATAGGTTGAAATAAACAATTAATTTCCCCATAGGCGACAATGATAGCCTTTTTCGAGATACAGACTTTAGAAAGTTGATTTTTTAAACGAAACCTTGCTAGAATTAAAGAAAAGTTATTAGGACAGTATTTTTTGGTCCAAAAAATATAGGTTCGCGTTGCTTTTCTTAGCGTAATTTGTACTTATCTCCCATGCCTATCAATTTTGCACATAAAAATACGTGTCTCATCCTAGCGTTTAAAAGACATCTCAGTTCCGTTAGGGCTAAGGAAAATAATTTATTTGGCCTTTGGTATAATGCAGAATGCACGAAGTCTCTAATAACAAAAAATAACGGGCGCACATATCAACCAATCAGGATTAGCTATACTCTTAATTCTGAATACCATGTTATGCTCATAAAATGGCTGCGCCCATAAAATCTAATGGTGTATTGTAACCTATACGGTATTTAATACTTTCTAGAATCATGCAATTCATAGTTCGTTAGATGCACAAATATATATGCCACACAAAAATCATCTTCAAAACGTTCTGGCATTACTCTCTGAATTTTCACAATTTTTTATCAGAGGTGACCCCAGTCAAAAAATGTGAAAAAAAAATTTCTGATTTTTTGAGTAAATGCGGTACTGCTAAAAAGGGCCTGAAGATAATGTCCACTTTCTCCAATGATTCTTTATATGTCATCAAGTACTGATTATATTGATACCAAAACCGATCCAATATGTAACTACTACGGTGAATTTTGAACAACAGTTTTAAATGAAACCATTTTCGTATAAAAGTACATGTTTGAAACAGACTATAGCATTTCAAAATATGAAAAATGTGTAAATATTTGTGTTTAAACATCGAAAACTATTCGTTAACTACAAAATGTCATGCCTATTCTAATTTTTATAGTCTGCCATTCGAGTGAACATTTCAATGTTCAATGGGGGTCATTTCTGTACATTTTCACTGAATTTGGTAATTTCGATAACAGCATTTGGATCGAGATTGTCATGTTTAAAAATCGATTTGTATATCCAAACTCTAGACGTGTACGTGCTTTTTTCAAACAAATCAGCAGAAGTTCAGAAAACGACATATTCTCTCCACAGTAAGTCAAAAGTCGAACCCACCCTTGTTTCTAAGGTAAAACGCAATACAAATATGAAACAGACTATAGCTTAAAAACTAGTTAATCAATAATTCATTTGTCACCAAAAAATACGGTTTCACATCAAATATCAAGTAAAATTACTGTTTTTGACACTTTTTGAGCACTATGATAAAGAAATGTCGACGCTGTATAGGTTGAAATAAACAATTAATTTCCCCATAGGCGACAATGATAGCCTTTTTCGAGATACAGACTTTAGAAAGTTGATTTTTTAAACGAAACCTTGCTAGAATTAAAGAAAAGTTATTAGGACAGTATTTTTTGGTCCAAAAAATATAGGTTCGCGTTGCTTTTCTTAGCGTAATTTGTACTTATCTCCCATGCCTATCAATTTTGCACATAAAAATACGTGTCTCATCCTAGCGTTTAAAAGACATCTCAGTTCCGTTAGGGCTAAGGAAAATAATTTATTTGGCCTTTGGTATAATGCAGAATGCACGAAGTCTCTAATAACAAAAAATAACGGGCGCACATATCAACCAATCAGGATTAGCTATACTCTTAATTCTGAATACCATGTTATGCTCATAAAATGGCTGCGCCCATAAAATCTAATGGTGTATTGTAACCTATACGGTATTTAATACTTTCTAGAATCATGCAATTCATAGTTCGTTAGATGCACAAATATATATGCCACACAAAAATCATCTTCAAAACGTTCTGGCATTACTCTCTGAATTTTCACAATTTTTTATCAGAGGTGACCCCAGTCAAAAAATGTGAAAAAAAAAATTTCTGATTTTTTGAGTAAATGCGGTACTGCTAAAAAGGGCCTGAAGATAATGTCCACTTTCTCCAATGATTCTTTATATGTCATCAAGTACTGATTATATTGATACCAAAACCGATCCAATATGTAACTACTACGGTGAATTTTGAACAACAGTTTTAAATGAAACCATTTTCGTATAAAAGTACATTTTTGAAACAGACTATAGCATTTCAAAATATGAAAAATGTGTAAATATTTGTGTTTAAACATCGAAAACTATTCGTTAACTACAAAATGTCATGCCTATTCTAATTTTTATAGTCTGCCATTCGAGTGAACATTTCAATGTTCAATGGGGGTCATTTCTGTACATTTTCACTGAATTTGGTAATTTCGATAACAGCATTTGGATCGAGATTGTCATGTTTAAAAATCGATTTGTATATCCAAACTCTAGACGTGTACGTGCTTTTTTCAAACAAATCAGCAGAAGTTCAGAAAACGACATATTCTCTCCACAGTAAGTCAAAAGTCGAACCCACCCTTGTTTCTAAGGTAAAACGCAATACAAATATGAAACAGACTATAGCTTAAAAACTAGTTAATCAATAATTCATTTGTCACCAAAAAATACGGTTTCACATCAAATATCAAGTAAAATTACTGTTTTTGACACTTTTTGAGCACTATGATAAAGAAATGTCGACGCTGTATAGGTTGAAATAAACAATTAATTTCCCCATAGGCGACAATGATAGCCTTTTTCGAGATACAGACTTTAGAAAGTTGATTTTTTAAACGAAACCTTGCTAGAATTAAAGAAAAGTTATTAGGACAGTATTTTTTGGTCCAAAAAATATAGGTTCGCGTTGCTTTTCTTAGCGTAATTTGTACTTATCTCCCATGCCTATCAATTTTGCACATAAAAATACGTGTCTCATCCTAGCGTTTAAAAGACATCTCAGTTCCGTTAGGGCTAAGGAAAATAATTTATTTGGCCTTTGGTATAATGCAGAATGCACGAAGTCTCTAATAACAAAAAATAACGGGCGCACATATCAACCAATCAGGATTAGCTATACTCTTAATTCTGAATACCATGTTATGCTCATAAAATGGCTACGCCCATAAAATCTAATGGTGTATTGTAACCTACAATATTTGTCGATGATTGGGAAAATTGTAAGTTATAACACCTCATATATTTTAGTTGAGAGGCTATTTGACTCCACACATAAGACTTTGTTTTACAGTTCTACTGTAGGTTCGTTTAGTTTTTTAAAAACAGGTGTATTTTCTTTGGAAATTATATTTTAATGCTGATTTATTTATGTTCGGTAATTTTCTATTTTAGCATTTAATTATGGCTGATCCACCACAGACGTCAGTGCAGGTGTTAAAGCACAAACATTCCATGTTGGGGGAGAGTTTGCTACCAGTTATTGCCAAATTGAAGGCCTGGGACCCTGATGCTAATTCTGGGGAGCTGTGTAGACTCAAGAAGGGGCACCCATTGGAGGAGTATAGCCTGGTGCAGCTACGCACATAGTTTGAGAGATTGGCGGGGGAGTCGGTGAAGGATATATTTGCCATTGTGGGAATTGATGAAAATTTGAAATCAGTTAGACAGTTGGTGCACCTCACCATCCTTCAGGCCAACTTGGTTGGCATGCCGAAGGGCCAGGCATTGCAAAACGATTTGCAGGTGGGAGCTGATAATCAACAAGCACCCAGAACTACAGGTACTTTCATTTGTCAGGTGGTGTTCATGTAAATACCACAGTTTTTCTTCCAATTTGGTCATTTAACCTTTTATTTTATTTTTAAACATTACTTTAGTTTTTTGAACGTGCATGTTTTTTGTAAATTGAGGATGTACCCGTCAAGTTTTTTTTTTAAATATTTCAGTTTTCAAGGGTCAGTGTTAAATGATATTATTTATTTTGCAATTGACAGTTTTGCATATATCATGTATATATTCTAGTATTTTTCTTTGTGCAGGTCTTAATTGAAGAGTAAACTTTGTGACTTGAATATATTTTATCTCAAATGTACTTTTTATTACAAGAACATGTAATTGTTGTACTGCGATTTTTGGATATCGGATCAAGCTATAATATTGGTATTTTGAATTTGTCTCCTTTGGTGTTTTGCTTTTTTATGTGTAAAAAAGTCCACATTTGAGGTACTTTAACCTTCGTGTACTTGTATGTTATACTTGTATGTTATATTTTTATTTTAGTGACACAGAGTTCTGGTGCTTCTGGCATGTCTGGGGCTAATGTTGATATATCCAGTAGAAGTAAAGATACTCAGAATCTACAGGTAACTTTAAGTAGTTTAAAGCAGGAAGTAGATGCTCTTAAGACAAAGAGATTAGATATGCAAGTGGACGAGGCTTTGGCAAATATAAGAACTTTAGCCAGTCGTCCAAAATTAACTGCACCACATGTTCTTTTGGCCGCAATTGAGACTTTAGTGGATATTGCACATACGACAAATCACAAAGAAGCAGCTATGTTTTCTAAGGCTTTCTCAACCTGTAAGAAATATGAAGATAATGAAGAGTTTTGCAGTTTAGTTTTAAAACTTTTTGGGTCGCAGGAGGATAAAAGAATTGCTTCTTTGGTTGCTGATTGGGCAAAATCTAGAAAGTATGAAAGTGGTGATAAAGAAAAGGAAAATACAAGGGGCAAGGTGCAGAATGATAACCCGGTAAATCCATATCCGATGCCAAGCTATCCTGGTTTTGGAATTATGCATCCTTATGGAAATTTTGGCATGCAGATGCCATGCCCGCCGGCATTTCATATGCCACCTATAGCTGCTTCTCAGGATTTTTCTCCTAGGCAGCAATTTTTTCGTGGTGGCAGGGGTAGGAGACAGAATAGTGTGTTTTTATTGCAAAGAGCCGGGACATTTTGTATCTAACTGTCCCAAGATAAAAAAAGAGTGACTGAACAATCTGGAAAAAGTATTAACTGTTCATTTGTTGATTTAGCATGTGTAGACTTTGTTTTGTTTACTTTATTATGGTTTTTTAAACATACTTGAGGTTGTCACATAGAAGTGAAACAACAATTTTTTATATACCTGATTTTCTTGAAGACTTGTGTGTATATACATGTACTGATGTGTAGAATTTTGTGGGTATTCAGGGGAGAAAACTATCGATTATTTTCTTACAAGTATTTTGAGTTATGACAAGTAGGAAATAACTATGCCGTTTCAATATTTCTAAATTAGGTTACTTATAATTATTTTAGAAATGATAATGTACATTTTTGATGCCTGACTTTCCTCCTAAAGAGTGCTAATCTCTTAGTGGAATTTTTTATTTCACGTGGGAGGGAGGCTGGGTATCTGTCTCTCTGATAGTTTTTTAAATTTTCTATTTTTCTAGGAGGTGTCTTTTCTAAAAGAAAACAAAAAGTTGAGGTTTGATCCTGATATTCCAGAATGGGAATTATCTGCTGGTTTTGACCCTGAAAAAGCTCTGGGTCGGGGTTTTTCAGAATTTTCGTGGGTTAATGCTATCGGAGAGAAAACCCAGCCTTCCTCACACATTACATCTGCAGAAGAAGTGGCAAGAGGAGAAAGTTTTGATTTTGATCAACTGGTTTTTAGAGATCCAAATAACTTTTTAGCTGGTTGTTTAAGTAATAATTTAGCAGCATGGGAAGAAATTGATACCCCATCTGAGCAATTAGGTTGGATTAAAGATGGGGTAGACATTCACAGTATGTTTAGACATTTTGCTGGGAATTTCAAGGGGAAAAGTTATAACTCCAATATACCACCAACTTCTTATTTCCCAAATGCTTCAAATTGTAAGAATTTTGTAGAGTTTATAACTGAAACTTTAATGAGTAGAATAGCTAATGGGTCCATTTCTGTGGTAGGAAAGGTTGGGCAGTGCCAACCCCCTTATCTTGTGATGCCCATCACTATAGGGCCTTCCAAGCCAAGAATGTGTCATGATGAGCGGTTTTTAAATCTGTGGATTAAAGATCATCCGTTCACTCTTGATACTTTAAAGGATGTGCCTAGAGTTATTTCTGAGAATTCTTATTTATCTTCTTTAGATGACAAGTCTGGCTATGATCACATTTTACTACATCCTCACAGTAAGATGTATTTTGGTTTACAGTTTGGTGGTTGGTTTATGGTTTATAATAGTATTCCATTTGGGTTTAAAGCTAGTGCCTTTATATACCATACTACTGGCCTGGTAGCTATGAGCTATTGTAGATCTTTAGGTGTTCCTGGGTTGCTATACATTGATGATAGATTGGTACCAGAGTGGAAAGGGGACAGAACTGATAAGGCTGACCCTTATTATTTGGCCCTTAAAGGTTTATACATAGTCTGTCAAGTTTTAGTGAGACTTGGTTATTTCCTTAATTTGACCAAATGTGTTTTAACACCTACAAAGTGTTTAAAATTTTTAGGAATGTTGTGTGATTCCAGGAAAATGGCTTTCATTTTGCCCCAAGAGAAAAGATATCTTTTTCTGAACTAAGGGAAAAAATTTTGGCAAATGATGAAGTAGCCCTTAAAACTTTACAAAGGTTTGCTGGGAAGTGTATATCATTTGTACTTGCAATCCCAGGATCAAGACTGTATTCTAGGGAAGTAAATAGGGCGGTTGGAATCGCATTTAAAAACAGCCGGCCGATAAAGATTTATAAAGAATTAAGGGCGGAGATTTCCATGTGGCGTTTTCTCGACAATTGGACGGGTTGTGCTCCCTGGCGCGATGAGAAACATCTTCAGGTTGTTTTGGCGTCAGATGCAACTCCTTATAAATGGGGATCTTTTTTGGTTCACCAAGGAAAGACTAAAGAGTTTGGTGATTTCTGGATTCAGGGCCAGAATTCTGAGGAAGCTATACATGTTAAAGAGGCTTTTGCTTTACTTAATACATTGAAGTCTGTTCAATCTCAGTTAATGGATCATCGAGTCGATGCATTCTGTGACAATATGGCAGTAGTTAAGGCGTGGGAGAATCAAGGTGGTCGGGATCCCAGTCTGAATGCCGTATTGAAGGACATTTTTTATTTCACACATGAATTTAACATAAGTCTTCATGTGCATTTTATTGCTTCTGCTGATAATCCTGCAGATAAAGAATCTAGAAGGATGTCTAAAGCTGATGCAAAATTGTCAGATGAATATTGGAGGTTGGTTGAAGACAAGTTTGGTCCCCACTCCATAGATTTAATGGCTCTTGATTCAAATGTTATGCTTGATTCTAATGGTCAGCCTCTTAAACACTTCACGCCATTTCCCTGTAAGAGTTCTTCTGGGGTAAATATTTTTTCACAGGATATATCAAAAGAGATGAACCCATATGTATTTCCGCCATTTCATCTTATATTTGCGGTATTTAGACATCTACAACAGTGTAAGGTTTCAAGATGTACCATGATAGTGCCTTCAATTCTGCCGAAACCAACTTGGTTTCCAATCATTTGGTTACATGTTGAAAAGTGGGATACTTTAGCAAGGAAAGGGGATTCTAAGGCTCTTCTGTACCCAACTGTTAAGGGATATGCCTTTGACAAAAAGGGTTTAATTTGGGATTTACTTGTGTTAAGGCTTAGTTTTTAAGAGCTGTATTTTTGTTCTTTTAGGCAAACATCCCTAGAATGTGGCTGCCACCTGAACGCTGTAGTGTATGTAATCATGTGAACGACTATGGTTTTAATTTTTGTCAATCATGTGGTCGAGACAATCTAGGACAACAGACTGGACTAGATAATGGAGACGACTATATTGTAGAAAAGCGTTTAGATTACTTAAATCTTATGATTTCCAGTTCAGAATACATGAGAAAAAAGTCTGCTTTAGAAAAACAATTTGAACTGTTTCTAAAATCTTTGGGAAAATGCGTTCTGACAGCCACTCCTAGGGATGTTACACGATTTTTTGTTCTCAAGGATGGAAAAGGGAAAACCCAGATTCATGATTTGAATTGTAAAAATTTGGGGAAGTTTGGTACTTTCACTTGTAACTGCCGTTGTAGATTAGCTGCTGGCACAGTTAAGTCATATTTAGGACAATTGAAATCAATCTTTGAATTAAGTGGAAGGGGGATAAATGGTATGATGCCACATCAGGTGGAAATCCTGCTTGTAGTTTGGAGGTGAAAAACTATTTGAAAGCCATTCAGTTAGAACAAGCAAAATCTCATGTGCAGCAAAAACAGGCAAAGCCATTATTTCTAGGGAAGTTGAAATCGGTATGTGAATATTTGGATGCTAGATTACAAAATCCAAGTTTATCTTTAGCTGAGAAGTATGTTGTTTTAAGAGACCAGGCATTCTTTAAATTGCAGTATTTTTCAGGTGATCGTGCTAATGACCTTGGACTTGTCCTTATTCAGGAAGTTAAAAGGTTTCAGGGTAGTTCTGGTATTATATTTTCCCATACTGTTGGGAAAACATTGGGAAATGGTAAGGTTAACGAGTTTTCAGTCTTTAGAATGGAGGATAAGGTTATATGTCCTGTTTTTGCTTTGGAGAGGTATATTGAGGGAGCCAAAAATCTTGGGGTGACGATTGAAACTGGTTATCTTTTTCGTACTTTGAATTTAAATAGAACTATGGTGTTAGATATGCCTGTTTCATCAAGTACAATGAATGATAGGTTGAAAAAATATCTTACAAAGCTTTGTTTGTATGAGGGTGAAACCCCCCATGGGATTCGTGGGGGCATGTGCAATAACAATGGCACTATCAGGGATAAACACGCATGACGCCATGGACCATATAGGTTGGTCATCAAATAGCTCTTTCAAGAGATATAGCAGAATTTCAAAGATGGTTGGTAGAGGATCAGTTGGCTCTTTGATGAGGAATATTGTCCAAAATAATAATCCTGTTGAATCTGTATTTGAGTCTCTAAGTACAACAAAAGATTTTTGAGTTAGACACCATGTTTTTTGGTTTAAATGTGTAGTGTTACGATTTTTGTAATCCTTGGGAAATAACTTCAAAAATTTTAACATCAAGAATTTGATAAATTTTAACATTTAGAATCTAATAAGATTTTCTATCTATATACCGAGAGAAGTTTGTTTTTACAGATGTTTGCTGGTGATTGTTTCCTTAATATTTTCAAGGTCCTTTGTTCATGTACTAAATTTCTACTTTCTTTTATGTTTATTTCAAAGGTTAATATTTTGCAACATTAATATGATTTTTTCAATATGTTTATAATTATTTTTGTGTTGGATCATCTTGAAGAACTTTTATAGTACATGATTTTCCCGGTATATTTTACTTTTCCGGAGCATCTCGGTTATTATGGTTATCTTGAAGCTCTGCAGCAAACATCTTTATTATAAAAGTATAATGGAAAAGTTTTGATAATAAAATATTTCATTCTAGGGTGTGATACTTTGATGATTTTATTTATCTCCCTTAGATTATAGTCTGTACATGTTAGTTTATTTTTTTGTGATACAATAAGAAAACTATGTGTTGGGGACTGAATATCATACTGAAATCTACAATGTATCTTTGATATGAATCTTTATTACATGAATGTTAATATTTCATATGCATTTTTGTTTATGCATTTACATGTAGATGTCTACTGTATTTCATGAATAAATTGGTGTTTTGTTAATGGTTGTTTCTTTTTAATGATTATAAGTTGTGGGTTGAGTATTGGGTGGATTTGAACTTATAATCGTATAGTCATAGACATTCAAGGGGAGATAGAGAGCAAACATGATGTTTAGTGGGAAGTTTTTGTCCATCTTCACCCAATACTAACTATACTTAGTCACATTGAGTGTATTTGCTTAGGATAGTTCAGTATCTTAAGTAAATATCACGAGATGTGACGAGAACCCTCATTCTGGTCGCAGTTCCCGGCAGGCAAGGCGTTTCAGATATTCTAACTAAGCCTTGTTGTAAGATAATGTTACACGGGTATTTGTATGGTTACATTGGAATATAGATGATTTGGATCCAGCAAATATGTTTAATGTCGGGAGCCTCTAATTCAGTGATTGTCGCTTGTTGCTGTATTTTATTTGTATTTTTGTTAATTGTTTTTGTATATGAATCTGGCCGTTAGTTTCCTGTCTGAATTGTTTTACACTGGATGAACAAAAGCCAGACTAGGTTTTCTTCAACATACACATACAGATACAGGTGTTTTGGTGTGCTTTATAGCTTATTGTGCAGAGTGAGCCAAGGATCAGTGTTGGAAGCTGTACCGTAACTTAAAATTGCTCACATCAACGACATTTGATCTTGGATGGAGGGTTATCTCATTGGCAATCATACCACATTTTCTTATTTCTGATTTGTATTGGCAATTACGTTTCTTAGAATTGAAATGAATTTATTTTTTAAAAACCACATAGGGAGGAACAGTCACCCAGAATACCAACATTTTGTGCATATTCACAATGCATTCAGGATTTTTCCGAATTTAGTACATGCATATACAGTGTACCGGCAAGTTACATAGCTTAGCAGGAGCTGCCCACTTTGTCGACTTATCTGGGCCATGTCGAAATGTTCCTGGTGTACATGTTATGCAAATTTGCAGACAACGCGATTGAAGACTTTGCTTGTACACGCTTTGCTTTTATACTACAACGTTATTTGGTATGCTTTGGTATTTGGTATTATACATTTTCTTGGTGTGTTTTGTTTTTGTATGATTACGTTACTTGGTAAACTTGATCGTCCTGAATATGCATGAAATATTTGCCACTGGACCTTAAGCAACCAACAATCAATCAATACTTCGACACACACACACACAAACAAAAACAAAAAACAACAGAAAGTAGTAAGCATACATTTATTTTTGACTAAGTTTTTATCCATCTTCACCCAATACTAACTATACTTAGTCACATTGAGTGTATTTGCTTAGGATAGTTCAGAATCTGAAACATGGTTTTTCTAAAAAAAATACTTTTCAGGAACAAAGACAGGTTTTTGTAAAGTCGAACATGACATAATGACAACATATTTTTCATTTTTATCTCACTTGGATTTGTACTATAGTAACTTTGTACATATGTTTTTTCTAAGCTGTTCAAATGGTGGAAATACACACTGGAATAAATAATGAAATTCATTCCCGATTCCGTTTTTGCAAAGGTTACACATTCTATTTTCTTCCAGTTTCTATAGGAAATCTAATATTTGCACATCTCAGTTTAGTAATGAATACTCTTTCATGTTCCTCAAGATTCATCAAATATTTTTCAAATTCAAACTTGTTTCTGAATAGAGAATAGAACTAACCACTTGAAGAATTTTGAATCTGCGATACCCAATGCTGAATGAATTGATCGGTTAGTCTTTGTTTAATAGTTAATTTAAGCTGGTTTTTATCCATATGTACCTGGTTACTCCAAACTAAACTTAATCCACATTTGTCCAAAATAGATATTATGTATGAAATCCATTTGAACTTTTGAGGATTAGTTTTATGTAATTCAAACATTAATTTATACATAATTGTTGACAAATTATGATCATTTATCAATAAATTATTCCAAAAAGACAAAACATTTTTTGTTTTATTACAATTTGTAAAGGATATCTCCCAGTTTCACCATAAACCATGTAGTTATGAGTGGTGTTTCTAAGTTTCAGTAGTTTTTGCAAAATTGAAGATGCATTTTTTCTATACAATTTTTATTTTCGAAACGCCATACTTCAGTCGAATATAACAAAACTGGAACAACAAGACAATCAAATAGTTTAAATTGTAAATCAATATAGGTATACTGATATTTTTTTATTTTATAGAATAAGGCATAAAGGGCCTTTTGAGCTTGATCATGTAGTTTATTTCTAGCGGTTGAAAAAGTTCCATTGAACATGACTCCAGGTATGAATATGAATGCCTTGTTTCTATAATTTGATCATAAATCTTAAATGTATTACAATTTTTCACCTTTCTATTACTAAAAACCACTACCTTTGTTTTACCAATATTAACTTTAAGTTTTCATATATTACAATATTTCTCAAATGATTCCAATGCTTTTTGTAAACCTTCAGAAGCCAATATCAAGAATAGTTTAATATATAATAGCAACAATTTTTCTAAGCATAAATCTGAGATATTTTCTAGACATTCTACATTACAATCCACAAAAAAATCTTCTGGGTCGTTCAGATAAATTGAAAACAGAAATGGTGACAAATTTTCTCCTTGCCTCACACCATTTCACAGTTGAATATGTCCGAGTACTTCTGACCGAGTTTGACTCGTGTCTTTTAATTTAATTTTGGTACATATTATAAATAACAGTTAAAATTTTATCCCTGATACCAGATTTTAGCAATTTATTCCACAACCCTAGTCTCCAAACGGTGTCAAAAGCAGACTTAAAATCAACAAATGTGCAATAAAGTTTCCCGCATAAGGAAAAGTAAATAATGACTAGGGCGTACAAGACAAAGACGTAATACAAACCTCCGTCGAACATAAATGAGGTCTCCTTTATGATTAGCATGACGTGTGACTTTTGAAATTACCTCGAGGTCAAAGGTTATGGATTATCAAGCTGTAAAGTAAAGTAAATTTGCAAAATTCAATTAGTGAAACACCATAGTTACCCTGACCTACTGTGATTATGAGAGCATAAAAAATGACAAAAGGCTTATCGGTATATAGATATAAGAAGATGTGGTATGAGTGCCAATGAGACAACTCTCCATCCAAGTCACACTTTGTAAAAGTAAACCATTATAGGTCAAAGTACGGCCTTCAACACGGAGCCTTGGCACACACCGAACAGCAAGCTATAAAGAGCCCCAAAAATGACTAGAGTAAAACTGTTCAAACAGGAAAACCAACGGTCTAATCTATATAAAAAACTAGGAACGAGAAACACTTATAAACCACATCAACAAACGACAACCACTGAACATCAGGTTCCAGTACAAATATTATGGATGATTTCAATCTTTTAACATTAAAGCTCTTTCTAGCTTATATAATTAAACATCGTAAGAGTTGCACAAAAGATTGAAATAAAATAAAGGTAAAAAAGGATTTGAATATGTTTTTTTTTTTATATATTGAGCAACAAGATGCAATTTTTCAAATAACCTCCTTCTGAGGTTCATTTGAAATTAATGAGGTCTTCGCCAATGACCATCGATAAATATGATATCCAGAATGACTTTAAAAGTCAAAAGTCAATATTGAAAAAAAGGTTAATGATATATTTTTTTTTCATTGGATAAAAGTACCAAGCAACGGGAAATTTTCCGAGTCGGGTAAGCAGATACATTATGAGTATAAAACACAAGTGTATAAAAAATTGGATTTTTTTTATGCAAGGAAAACATTATCTGAGTACAATGTAGAATATTTGTGTAACGTTATGTTGATAGTACCTGATCAGTTATAAATATTATTATGTCTAAACTGTTTAGTAAATATGTTGATCAGTGGCAATGCAATTTACAGTGAGAGAAATATTTATCTGGTAAAGGTGGAAACAAACTTAGAACATATAACTTATTTAAGAACAGTTTTGAAACTGAAACATATTGTACAATTCCAATGCCATTTCCACGAAGGAGTTCTTTTGCTAAATTTCGACGTGGAGTGGCACCATTAAGAATCGAAACGGGGAGATTTGAAATTATCTTATTTTAAATAGACGAAGAAATGTTTTATACTGTAAATAATGTACTTATAAATATGCTTTATAATAGACGAAGTTTCTATAATGTTTTAATGTTATAGTACATGTATATGTACATAATGGCTCTCTTTTTTATATCTATATATTTTTACACTAAATGTATTGTTGTATTATATATTATTGAGAGATGAGACTTAAATAAAATATTTAATTTGAATTGCCATTGTCTTAATTTTTATAAGAATCAGGGCAATTTTGATTTACTAGGTAAGTCCTAATTTGAAAAGTACATCAATTATACTATTAATTTCAACTTAGTTTTTTTTAAGTTTTACAAGTTTACAGCAATCAACGACACACAAAAAACTAGACATTTAGTTGAATAACAAAAGATAAAGAAAAAAAACACTTTAATATATGATTAACGATATAATTCCAGTAAAAAGGATAAGCAAACTGCAAAAGGTCAAGCATAACAATAAAAACAATATATTATACAATCTTATTACATCAGGGTTTTCAATATCAGAAACTAGTCAAAACATTTACTAAATTTTATCATCGGTATAAGGACATCATTCGTAAATATAACTCAACATGCAGACATCTTATACGTTCGGGTATTTCACATCCAATCGTTTATGGTAATATTCTTTACAAAGCACAAAAGTGTCAGTATTCACCTCAAAAGCTAACAAAACCTTTAAACAGACTTATTAAGAAGGGATATAGTTACGATACTGTTGTCAGGTCATTAAAGATTGTATATTTTGGCTTTAATATTGATTCACTTATAGGGTCTTTGCATC